TGCCAAGTCACTATGGGGATTTAGCTATGCTATCTGTGATTGAAAAGGAAGAAGAAAAAAATATGATGTGGGTGCATATCTGGATGACTCTCTAGAGAAAGTACTTATGTTGTTTGACAACATTGACTTGGATGATGAGGTGAAGGATATGGTGCATCATCTGGATGCATGTGCTTACATCAAAGGATTGATCGATTTCGAGCCTCTAGATAGACCAATTGGTCCACCCCCAAGCTGCCTATCGAAGAAGCTCCTAATTTGAACTCAAGCCCTTACTCTATCATCTACATTATGCTTATTTGGGTGTTGATGGAACTTTACATGTTGTTGTATCTTCTGAGTTATCTGTTTTGCAAGAAGAAAATTACTTCGCGTGCTTAGAAAGCACAAGCGAGCGATTGGTTCAACCATAGCTGACATTCATGGTATTAGCCCAACATTTTGTATGCATAAAATTCTTACAGAGGATGTGCATAAACCGAGTATGGAACACCAACGCCGATTGAATCCAGTCATGAAGGAAGTGGTAAGAAAGGAAGTCATAAAGTTGCTCGATGCATGTATTATATTTTCCATCTCTGATAGCAAGTGGGTGAGTCCAGTACAATATGTACCCAAAAAAGGTGGAATGACGATGGTCATAAAGGTGCATGATGGCAATCTTCACTAATATGGTAGAAAAATTTGTTGAGGTATTTATGGATGAGTTTTCGGCATTCAGACCATCTTTTGATGAATACTTAACGAATTTGAGTAAAGTGCTTGCCAGGTGTGAAGATACGAAGTTAGTGTTGAACTGGGAGAAATATCATTTTATGGTATGAGAAGGAATTGTACTCGGGCACAAGGTGTCCAAAGATGGGTCAGAGGTGGATAAGGCAAAAGTGGATTCAATTGAAAATTGCCGCCTCAAATCTCTATCAAAAGAGTCAGAAGTTTTTTGGGACATGGAGGTTTCTATCGTAGATTCATTTAAGATTTCTGCTCCCTTGTGCAGGTTGCTTGAGAAGGATGCGCCTTTCAAGTTTGATGAATATTGCTAGAAGGAGTACGAGGAGCTGAAAAAGAGATTGGTGACTGTACCAATTATTATTGCCTCAGACTGGGGAGAGCCTTTTGAGTTGATGTGTGATGCCAGTGACACGACAATTGGGGTCGTATTGGGACAGAGAAAAAATAAAGTGTTCCACTCAATTTATTACATTAGCAAAACTCTAAACCCGACTCAGATAAATTACTCAGTCATAGAAATAGAGTTGCTAGTTGTAATATGGGCGTTTGACAAATTTAGGGCCTACTTGGTGGGAACTAAAGTCATCGTCTACACAGACCATGCAACCATCAGGTATTTGTTTGAGAAAAAAGGATGCTAAGTCTAGACTAATTTGTTGGGTTCTTCTGTTGCAGGAGTTTGACGTGGAAATTAAAGATAAAAAAGGACAGAAAATTAGGTAGCAGACCATTTGTCGCACTTGAAAACTCGCGCATATTTTGAGGAATGGGCAAAATTCAGGAAAGTTTTTCCGATGAGCATTTTCTAGCCATCACAGCTGTAACGACCACATGGTATGCTCACTATTTGAACTTCATTTTAAGTGGGGTGACTACGTCAGAGTTAAATACAGACGGTAAGAGAAAATGCATGCATGATGTTAGACTTTATCTATGGGATGAGCCATTTTTGTTTAAGTAGTGTGCAGATCAGCCGGTGAGCCGATGTGTTCCTCAGGAGGATATGGAAGTAATTTTACATGATCGTCATGCATCACCGTATGGGGGACACCATGGTAGAAATAAAATGGCTGCAAAGGTGTTACAGTCAGGATTCTATTGGCCTAAGCTATTCAAAGATGTACATGGTTTTGTGAAAAGATGTGATAGGTGCCAAAGGACGGGTACAATTCGAGAAGGCATGAGATGCCATTGAAGGGCATACTTGAGGTTGAAATCTTCGATGTTTGGGGAATAGACTTCATGTGGCTATTTCCAGCATCAAATGGCCATTGGTACATATTAGTTGTAGTTGACTATGTGTCAAAGTGGGTTGAGCCTGTGGCTCTGCCTACGAATGATGCTAAGGTGGTGGTGAGATTTGTGAAGAAAAATATTTTCACGATATTTGAAACTCCGCGTGCTTTGATCAGTGATGGAGGTACTTACTTTTGTAATAAACTATTGGGCAACCTCTTAGCTATGTATGGGGTGAGACACAAGGTCGCACCTGCTTATCATCCGCAAACCAGTGGTCAATTGGAGGTCTCAAATAGGGAGGTGGAGCAAATTTTAAAGAAGACAATGAGCGCAAGTAGGAAGGATTGGGCTAGCAAGTTAAATGACGCTCTATGGACATAAGGCACTGCATACAAAACTTCAATTGGCGCTTTGCCATACATGTTGGTTTATGGAAAGGCTTGTCACTTGCCTGTTGAGCTTGAGCACAAGGCATATTGGGCAGTCAATAAGCTCAACTTTGATATGGATCTAGTTGGAATAAAACGGATGTTGCAACTAATGAACTCGAAGAATTTCGTTTGCACGCATATGAGAATGCGAAGTTGTATAAAGAGAAAATAAAGATATGGCATGACAAATGCATTTTGCATCGTGAGTTCGTACCTAGTCAAGCTGTTCTATTGTTAAATGGGCTCCAAAAATTCTAGCCCAATCCTGCTAAATCACGGGTTGGGCTGGCCCAACGGGTCAAGCCCATATTGACGGCTCTAAAAATATTATTGACCATTCCAAGAAGCTGTAAGGAACTGTCCAAAAATATCAGTATGTATTAGTTCTAAGACTTCTGATTTTCTGTTGGCTCCAAATCTCATAATATTTGTTTGTTTCCCTTTAATACAATCAACACAGAAAATCAAGGAGATCGAGAATACCATCGAACACAAGTCTCTCAGTTCTCCTTTTGGAGATATGGCCTAATATCTTGTGCCACAATGCAGCTGAATTCTGGCCGGTTAATTTGAGCTTATTACCATTTATGTTAACATGCAAAGATTCATTGAACGAAGCAACCGTATCGAGTAAATATAGATTATCGTAACCTGATAAAGAATCAGAACCAACCAATTTGAATTATAAGAGAGACTGACTTTTCCATTTCCAATTGAACAAAAATAACCAGACTTGTCCAATACAGAAACAAAAATCAAATTCCGTTTAAAAGACGGTGCAACGAAAGTCTCATTTAAATCCAAATAAAAACTAGTTCTTAACAATAATCTAAAAGTCCCAATTGCTTAGACTTTCACCGACTTGCCATCACCAACATAGATATATCTTTCACCATCATTAGGCTTTCGGCAATTCAGACAACCCTGCATAGACACACTGATGTGAGTTGTCGTGCCAGAATGTAACTACCACGTGTGTCTTGATACCGAATTCAAATTAACCTCAGAATAAACAAAATTAAGAAGAATACCCTTCTTCTGATGACCTTCAGCTTCACTGAAGAAGCAACTGTCCTTAGTTAATTCCTTATGTTATTTCTTTTGTGCTGTTGTAACCGCAACTTCCTTATTCTTTCTGTACCATATTGAATTTGATTTCGTCAAGAGTGCATGATTCTCTGCCTTTTCATTCTTGACAAATTCGTTTTCAATTTTGGTCAGGAATTCCTTAGCGTAGTCTTTTCATATATAGTGCCCTCGAATGTTTCTGAAATTGAATTGATGTTGGCAGTAATATTTGCATAAGTAATTTAAACTGAATCCAGAGAACAACAAACAACAAAATAAGTTCACATAATACTTAAAACCAAAATGAAAATAAATTCGAATAAAGGTAAATCCCATCTCAAGGTACCGGTTAGTCCATTAAAATTTTATCTTGGGACAAAGTATTAACTTGTAAGTGGTATCTTGGAGTAGTAATCAAACACTGATAATAAAAGAATATGTCGAATAATAAATCTTCCTTTGGGCCGATTTATTATTCACACGTAAAATCAAATAATCATCACGTGTTTATTACCACAAAAATACACATGTAATTTTATTAAACATTAACCTTCCTCTGGGCCGATCATTATTTATATAAGTTACACGTACACAACCTTTTATATTTCAAAATAAATAAATCTTCACAAGAGATCACTTTAGTACCGTCAAGTTTCGAATTTGTTAATCTCAAATTACAGAAGGACAACACCTCCTGATTCTAAATCAAACTCATCTGCCGCAAAAGTAGTTTCCGAAATATTGTGATCTAAAGTAGTTCAGTATAAAATTACAATTGAAAGATGCTTTCAAAGTAAGAACACGTGATCGAGGTTAAGGCTTAAACTTTACAACCTTAATTCACGCAACTTTAGCCGCGGTTAGCCAAACCTTTTTTATTTATTTATTAAGAACAGTTTCATCAAAACCTAAAAGCAGCCGCCACTACTTTAGACCGAATTGTAGGTGTCTTAGCGGCAACGCCTTAAACAGCGACTCACGAAATTTCGACCGGAAAACAAAAAGAAGCTTTTCTGGCAGTAGGCATATATCGCAAACATGACTGCTAAAACCCGTAACACAATTTTTAAATACGTTTTTCTAAATAAAATTCCTCGATGATTCAATATAATACATGCTCTCGTAACAATTGTTAGAACCAAAACTTTAAAGATGAAGACTTTCATATTTTATCCGACACCTATCATGTCAAATCATCAAGAACAAATACTAGATGCGGAAGCGTACATGAATCCATGAATGCCATAGATATCACTGAATCTTTCGGTCTACCGTCTTTCAAACCAAGACTTAAGACGTTCTAGTCTTTCCAGCGATGTGATGTTAGAAAGAAAATCATATGTCTGATTCAATATGGCGGCCGTAACCCATTTAATAGGTGCACAAGTTTATGTATTTCTAATTTAACTTATCATTAAACTAGAAATAAAATCCGGGTATCTATACATAAGACCCCATACTTTATAAGATATCCTTTTGGCTTATTTAAATTTATACCTTAATAGATCACTTTAGTTTAGGCCACCCTTATAGTGATAGTAACCAACACATAATTATTCTTAATATAATATATATGCAAATTCATAAATTTTAACTGTGTGATTTAGACAATGTACCCTGACGACGGATCAGAACAATATGTCTGATTCCACAGACATATTGAATTTATGTCATAGTACAAAAGTGGAACGAACGGATCAGAACTTTGCTCACTACTACACAACAACAAGCCTGCGTACCAAAACGTTGTCCCTTCCGCCGAATCCTCCACGGCCATTACCACCCTTTGGTACCGTCACGACTAACTCTCCGTCCACAAACACCGCCGTAGCCAGCTCCGGCTTTGCCGACACAGGCAACCTATACCTCCACGTGTCCACCTTCAGTTGTTCCAACAACAACTCCACTTTGCCACCTTTGGCTCCATTTCTCACCACAATCTTCGTCACCCCTGGATGTATCTCCACTGCCTCAGCTCTCACGTTACTAAAGCCAATAGCGCTGTTGACATCACCGTGCACGCCGATTTCGGTCACGAAACGGAAGAATTCCGGGTTTTCTTCCACCTCCACATCCGCATCGTACCGAAACGGCAATTCAAGAACCTTGCCAAACACGTGAGGCAGTTTACGAAGTTTTTTTATGCCGTTTCCTGCCATTACTGTAGTTGAGACAAAGAATAAAAAGAAGAGGATGAGGAGTTCGAATCAAATACCTTGGCAAATGACAACGTTTTTGTTGCATGGAAAAAAGATGGACCCTCATGCTCTAGTTTTGTAGGTTAGAAATGACGACATGAGAATAAAGTGACAAGAACCTAAATCTTGATAAGATTCACTATTTATGGGGCGGTGAAAAAATGGAATCATGTTAATGAATGAATGGCAAGAATTTTTTTCCCCTTTCATAATCATTTAGTATTCGGAACATACTTACTCAACTAATTCAGATTCGCGCCGCGTATGACATTTAATGTGTGCTTTAAATGGATTTTAGTTTCTAGGAAATAAAGAGAGATCCAACTTTCAAGGGAATAAATGAAGCGGAGCCAGAATTTGAAAATTATGAATTCAGAATATTAATACATTTAAGTTATTGGGTTCTAAATTAAATATTTTTACATGCTCAATAAACTTTTTAAGAAGAACACAAGGTTTGGACGCCCGTAACCCAAATGCTAGCTCCGTTTCTGAATACGGATACGATTAATGCAATGAATATATTAGAAATGTGTATGTAGTTTGGGAAGTTAAAAAAAAAAAGTTAACCAAACTGATTTTTTTGGTTTTTTTAATAACGATTAGGTGTTTGGTTTTAGTTTTCATTTTTTTTTGATTATCGATTTTAACGTGAAAAAATATCGAATATTTCTAAATCTGAGAACTTTTATACCATATATTTGAGCTTATATAAATAAGCCTTAACCAACAAAAACACATATGTCAATAATATATTTTTTAAACATTTCAAAAAGTATTTAATTTGCATATTAAACGATTTATTAAAGTTAAGTCGTGCGATGCACATTTAGCTAGATTCATTGCATATAGCATTCAATCGACATTTATTTGCTCCCAAATCTGTAGAATGACACCGGGTAACCACTATAAATGGCTGCTATTTAAGAATTAGTGAGTGCGTCTTGAATTTTAGTTTTTTTGTTCAATTTTTTAGGACAAAATTATCCTAAAATTAAGATTTTTAATTTAAAATTTCAGAATAAAATAAGTACTTACTAATCTCTAAATAGCACCACGAGAGACTCTCGCTGCAATGGATTTGTTACTTAATTGGTCGTTGCGCTAAAAGTCTTGTCGCTCATAGTTGCTCTTTTGCTAGGCAAAATTCACAAATAGCCACTTTTCAGCATCTGCAGTTGAAAAATAGCCAATGTCATGGATAGATATTATATTATTCCGGAGTTCACTGTAAATTTAAACTTCATGACAATGGTTATTTTCGTAATTACACGACTGAAAAGTGGCTAGCCAACAACATTACTACCTCTTTTGCCTCCATTTGGGCTATGAATTACTAAGATGATCTACCTGGCCCATTAGGCCCTTAATGATGGGGAAAGTACACAAATAGTCATTTTAGAGCTAGTATTTACTATTTAGGGATTAGTTGGTACTTATTTTGTTTTGAAAATTTAAACTAAAAATCTTAATTTCAGAACTCTGTGTCCTGAAAAATTAAACTGAAAAACTAAAATTCAGAACTCATTGGCTAATTACTAAATAATAGTCCTCTAGAATGGTTGTCTGGTATCATTTCTACTTTAATGATGGTGGCTGATAAGCCCAATAAATGCCTGGCCTTTGGCAAACTATGGACCAATAGTTTGGACAACCAAAGTTAAGGACTCAATTCCATGATCATGAGGCAATTTGGAGGTTGATATATACTTTTTAAAAAATATTAAATTCTCAGGGAGAACCCTGTCGTTGTAGCTAAAATCATAGTATAATGTAGATTAATTTATTTTTGCTGAAATCATGAAATCTGGGGACATGCCATGAGTTAGTTGTGTTTGAGAGATCATTTTCTTGATTGTTAACAAAGTTGGGGAACTACTCCCTCCGTTCAAATTTATGTGGCATAATTTAACTTGTTACACAATTTAAAAAAAATAAGGATATATAAAATTTATGATCTTAAATAAGTCATTAATATTTTTATGAATATAACTCATCTTATTAACAACAAAACAAGAAGTTTAAAACTAAAATATTTACCTCCAATTGGGTTTGAGCCTTCTAAATAGAATTCTTGACTGGGAAAGCAACCAATTAATTGAATCTTACGATGTGCAAACCTGGAGTAGTTGGACCAATGTATTCTTGAACCAGATGATTAAACAAAAAAAGTGTTGTTATACTTTATTCCACATAGTTAAGGTTACCATTGTTTAATTATAATAAGAATACATTAGAAGTAAAATTCTTGGTACGAAGAACTTTCCGCTTACGACGTACGAACTTGGATTAGTCGAACTAGTGTGTCCCCAAAACCAGATGATTAAACAAAAATAAGGCGTTGTTACACTTTATTCCACCATAGTTAAGGTTACCCTTATCTAATTACAATAAGAATACATTAGAAATAAAATTCTTGGTAGGAAGAACTGAGCCTTATGACGTGCAAACCTGGATTAGTCGAATCAGTTGGTCCCAACAATCAGATGATTAAACAAAAACAAGGTGTTGTTACACTTTATTCCACCATAGTTAATAGTTACAATAAGAGTTAAAAGATTTAACTCCAACTTGGGATGTGCTTGTTGATCTTGTACATTTCTTGGAAGCTAAGAGGAAGATAAATCACCAGACCTTTTCCTTAGCATCTGCCTTATCCCATTAGCTACACAAATTGCAGGATTAGAGTTATATTTTCTACAAAATGACATGGGAGCTTTCACTGCTTCTTCTATCACAAGAAAATATTGCTTATTACTATTATTATTACTATTATTATTATTATTATTATTATTATTATTATTATTATTATTATTATTTTTTCCTCTTTCAACTTCATCTCTAACAGCTTCTGAGCACAACCCACACAACCATTTCCTCTTGAAATTGGCCTTCACTTCATTAATATAGTCTTGTGTGCAATCTTCTTTTAGACCACAACACTCACACTTAGCCAATTGTATTTCCATTTTCTTGAATCAAAACCAAGACTTTCTTTGCTAGCTAATCCTTTTTTTTTTGGGAATTATTTTACACTTTGGAAGTTTAGTTATCTTGCCATGGGGAGCAAAGGAAGTGTTTCTTGAATTATTTAGGGCAATGGCTACAAAGGGAAAAGGGTGGGAAGGGAAAGGAGGAGGAAGCGGGAACTTATAGAGCATTTTTTCGAACGGAAGATCAGGTTTGTAGTCCATTACAGATGTTATTTTAGTTATATAGCCATTTTCATAGGATATCAAGAAAAGATTAACACAGGAAATATATAAAATAAATACATGAAAATTTTGCAACAACAATAACACCAACCCAGTGTAATCCTTAAGTGGGGCATGTGCAGGGTAGAATGTACGCAAACATTACCTCTACTTTCAAGAAGGCAGAGATGTTATTTCCGGTAGACCCTCGGCATACATGAAATTTTTGCTTGATCGTTTTTTTTTAATTTAAATTGTAAGTGGAGATAAAAAAAATCATTTCCGACCCTAACTTATAGTAGGAAGAAAATGCATAAATTTTTCTCTATGTTCTAAGGAATCGTTTGGTATGTAGACTAAATTATTTCGGGACTAATTTATATCACATGAGAGATGAGATAAAATAATTTCACATTTGATGGGATAAGGTGAGATAAGATGTGATATCCTAGATTAAGTCTGGAATTAAATTTATACTTTGTTTGATTGGAGGTATAAATTACCGACAACCAAATACAATAAATTTAATTCCACATCTTATTCCATCTTATCCACATCCCTTGTACCAAACGACCCCTAAGAGACATAGGGCAGTGGAAAATGAGACAATTCGGAATTTGGTCTTAAAGGGGGGTCCTAAGGTGAGGCCCTTTGTATTATTTGTACCAATGATTAATGTGATTTTCTACTTGCTTTTGTCATTTTCTTTTAAATTGTTAGTTGTTACTTTAGGTGCAGTTTCTGCTTTTGACTTGAATGACAGTTACCTTCAGTTGAAATGGATTTATTTGGCTTCATTTGAATTTTTCTGGCTTGGTCTCAATCTTGTTATCCTGATTCCATACATGCATGTGTTGACCACTCATGCTTATTTTTTTTGCACATTTGACTAAATCAGAGACTAGAGATGGCAATTAATTAACTGAAGTTATAGGATTCAGACTCTGAAATATTTCAAAAATAGTATGAACACTCCGGACAAGAGGGAATTGGTCTAGTGGTAAGCACTCTCCACTTCCAACTAAGAGGTTGTGAGTTTGAGTCACCCCAAGAGCAAGGTAGAGAGTTTTTGGAGGGAGGGAGCCGAGGGTCTCTTGGAAACAGCCTCTCTACCCCAGGGTAGGGGTAAGGTCTGTGTACACACTAGGTCTGTGTACACACTACCTTCCCCAAACCCCATTAATGAGATTATACTAGGTGGTGGTGTTGTTGTCGTAATCTCCTCGAAGTCCATTAGATGGTTGTTTGGATCTTTGTTCATCTTTCCTCTGAAGACACAATAGTTTTACAGAGTTTGGAGCAACTCTTGCTTCAATTCAAAATTGTTCGCTACAACTGGAGGTGGTCTGATACTTGAAAATCCTTGGTTGTAGACCGGTCTAGCGTAATCACCAAGTTGTCCCCAACACCGAGAGCTAAGTTTCTGAACTGGTCTGCACCCACGGTTTGATTTTGATTAAGTCTGTCACCCCTCTTTTCTTCATAGATGCGATGCACATCTCTAATAGCTGCCTCTTCCGCATCCCGTGTATCGTTTTATCTTTGTTCGGCTGCCTCTCTCGCAGCCAAATCCATATTATCATCATCTCCAACTATAGTTTCTTTGGTTGAGGATTGCCCAAACCTCTCTATATTCTCAGGGAGATTTTTTTCCTTCCTCAACTATCAAAGTTGTTTTTCTATTTCTGGTTCGTATGGTAGTAATTATTTCCCAGAAGATCGAGTCATGCACCACTCTTACCTGCAACCTACGTATAGTCAAAGAACACCAACCGTAAAAAGGAAAAAATAAAATAAAATAAAAATAAAAAATTCATGAATTATCACTGCAAACTATTTCAAACCAAAAAAACCTTAGTAGAGGGAAGCTCTGGAGAAAATAGCGACCAAGCTCCTTTGTGCTTTAATGGCTGCCATGGCCATCGGCCAACCATTGTTATCGGCTGGGCAGCCTCCTCCCACTGTCGCCCAAACTCCCACGACAACAAACACAAATAATCAACCACTGGACTTCTCAAAAAATTTAAAACCAACAACCATCAACGCTGTTGTGCTCGAACGATTTTCAGCAGTCGAACCTATACCATTTTGAAGGGTTACGCTCTTACATGGAAAACCAATGGCAATGTTTACTGAAGCAGAAGTTGAGAGAATGAATATGATTGAAGGTCTTCAATATGCAGTGGTAGGGAAGTTCTCGTTTGGCTGGCCAGATCTGAATGAGTTACGTCGAATCATCCCTGCATAAGTTGGTATCAAAAGAGAATGCAATATTTGATTTATAAGAGATAAGCATGCGTTGATACGATTGACATTATGGGAAGATTATTTTAAACTTACGTCCAAAGGTGTATATTATTTCAAAGCAAAGGATGGTTTCGAATATCAGATGAGACAACTCATATATGATGCTAAATTTAAAGCTGGAGAAGAGACACCAATGGCAATGGCATGGATTTCGTTTCCAAATCTGCTGCCTACTTTCTTTGTCAAGGAGTGTTTATTTTCGTTGGCATCAGCAGTAGGAAAACCTTTACATCTTAACATGGAAACCATCAATAAGACTAGGCCTAGTTATGATTGTGTGAAGGTTTTAGTTGATCTGCTAGCAGATTTGCTAAAGAAAGTTAGGATGGACATTGAGAATGACACTACTAGAGAGGTAAGAACTGAATGGATAAAAATCCAATATGATTTTATGCCTAAGTATTGAAAAGAGTGTAAGTTGCATGGTCATGACATACTTGAGTGAGACAGGGGATAATAATCAACTAGATTTGGTAAATACCAACACTATTCAGAAAAGCTCTAATCCTACCCCTAAGGAAACTGGGAGAAATTTAAATCCTGCAGCACCTATGTTTACCCCTAGTTCACCTGGGAATAGGCCATTTAAGGAGATTAATGCTACAAAGGAAGACAACAATGATGAGGAGAAGGAACAAAAAATATTGAAAGAAACCACAGCACAATGAGTGAATCGAGCTTTTGTAGGCAACAATGTTACTATGAACCAGTCATGACAAGATATACCATCATAATCACTTGATACAGATGCCATTGCTGAGCAGGAATTTCTGAAGGAAAAAATTAATTTGTCAGGTGGAAGACTTTGGTGTGATCAGGTGGAGGATGATTCAAATGAAGGTGATCTATCTGAAGGATTTGAGGAGGAAGATAATGCCACTTTTTGATGTTGATAATGAGCCACAAGGAGAAAAATCAGTGTTAATGGAAAAAATAACAAAGATGATGTGCAGACAGGTGATAAGGAACAAAAAAGGACTGATGCTCTAATTGATATTGCAGGCTCAAGTACTAAAATTCGGAACCCAACTAATAATGTTGCTGATCCAATTGACCCTGGAGATACTGGTAGAGGGGAAAATCAGCAATTAGCAGATAAGTTGAATAAAAATCGAGATCATGAGAAGCTGGAACTACTGGGGAATACCAAAGTCAATGCAAGTACAAAGAGCCCAGATGGTGTTAAACAGATGATCAAGGGGACAACAACCAATATTTTGATCTCTAAGCCAACTAAGAATCAGATTGTACCACCTGTGCGGCAGAACGAAATGGGGACAAAAATATCGGTCAAGGAAGGGATCTGGATCCAGAATCAACAACTCAAAACTTCATGCATGTTGCTAGATAAGGAGACTTGTCTCCTAGACATATAGAGAAAGGTAAATCAGCTGGTCGAGGTAGAAAGAAGCAAGTGAAGGAGGTCCCAAATTTACAACCAACTGGGGTTCAAACAAGGAGGACTGTATCTAAATCCATTATTTAGAAATGAATGTTCTTATATGGAATATTAGATCGGTGAATACGCAAAGAGCCTTTTGAAAGGCTCATCACAATGAATAGACAACATCATTTCCATTTTATTGGGATTATGGAACCAATGCAACAGTCAAAGAAGATAGAGAGATACAGAAGGCAGATTGGATTTGCACAGGCAATTGTGAACACTTCAAATAAAATCTGGGCTTTAATTGATGTAACAATGATGATTGATATGGTGCAACATCTAACTTTAAAGCTTTATGATAGTGAGGATCACAAAGAATTCATTCTTACCATTGTCTATGCTAAGTGTGATCATATTGAGAGAATTGAGTTATGGGATTCCTTATACTATCTAGCTCGAGATATGACTACACCTTTGTTGGTAAGGGGGATTTTAATGTTATATGGGATGAGGAAGAGAAATTCGGAGGGCTGCCATTATCCTTAAATGAAGTAGATGACTTCAGGCATTGTATGAACACTTGTAATCTTACATATCTTGGCTTCAAAGGGAATATATACACTTGGTGGAATGTTCGAGCAAAAGAAGATTGCATTTTCAAGAGATTAGATAGAGTATTTGCAAACATGGAATTACAACAGTTATGGCCAGGCTTGAAGATAACTCACTTATGTAAGATTGGTCGGATCATTGTCCATTGTTGCTTACATACAATCCTGATTCTGCCCCAATTAAGAAGAGCTTCAGATTTCTGAATTTTTGGACAAACATGAGTCGTTTAAGGTAGTGGTGGAGGAGAATTGGCAAGCAGATTTTCATGCAAATCCTTTCACTCTTTTCAACTACAAGCTCAAGAGATTAAAGAAAGCATTATCCACACGGAGTAGGGCAATATTTGGAGATATTTTTTAGAAGATAGGTAGTTTGGAGGAAGTGGTTAGGATGCATGAAGCACAATTTAAACTACACCCTACACTGTAAAATAGGGAGAGGCTTCAAAAGATGCAGGCAGACTTGTTCAAATATTTGGCTTTAGAGGAGCAGTTCTGGAAACAAAAATCTGGAATGAGATGGTTCAATGATGGAGATAGGAACACAAAGTTTTTTCATGCACATGTAAATGGTAAGAGGAAGATATTACAACTAAAG